GCAATATTCTAGAGTGCTTTTCTTGAATAACCCTTGAAACATAATTCCTTGAAACACTGGCCCTCCATGGCAGCCTACAAAAATACATTCATTGTGCTGAGGTCCAGACAACATCAGTGCACAGCTGAATCTTGTGTGGACATGCTGATTTTTTTGTTTCCTGCTGAACATCACAAGTTCTTGAAATATTGTCTCCCCATGCACTGAAATTGATTGGCAGGGATTTTCAATGCACATGACTCACAAGTGTGCTGAAAAGGGTGCTGTGATTTTGCTGCTGTCTCTATGTGATTAGCATAATATATATTTTGTGCAATCTGGGCCATGGGTCTCAACTAGATGCACTCCAGTCTTCAAAAATTCTAGCCACTGTGTCTGTCCCATGCATGACTTTGGTGCATTACAACTGGTGCACATGTGTGCTTAAGTCAGGTCAGACCAAAAAAAGCAGACTTCCGAGTATTCTTGGTTGACAAAACTTTGAGAGCACTCTTGCCTTAAATGGCCTTTGAAATATTGGAATTCCATGAAACACCATCCATGCATGATCATGTATGAAAATCAGAACATTATTGCTGTAATATCACTGCTATGCCAGGCAGTACATGTTCAGCATAAAATGCATCATTTATAGCCAGAAGTGCAAACAGAATACAAAACAAGCACATGAAGGCTGCTCCTGTCACTTATGACAATCACAGCTATGGATGATAACAAGTGCATGGGAAGTATGGTGGAACATTAGTTAACAAGCTATGTTTGTGTGCAGGTCATATAGTGCATTGCATAATACACATGCACATGCCTACATTGTGCATATCTACATCTTTCCTATGTTTGTGTCATAACCACACTGTTCTGGTGTTTGATGATTCACTTGTCTGAAGATGCTCCAAAAGAAGATATGAGATATGACTCAAAGGAAGATCACCCCAGACTTCACAAGCAACACCAGTATCATAACACCAACATCAAATAGTAGTAAGCTTTATGTTCTGGAGGCTGTCATGATCAAAATATTGCCTCCAGAACTAATAGGGGTGACCCCATGGTCACCCTATATCTCATTTGGACAGAATATGACCATCCAAATGGATGGTGATCTTGCTTTTCAGCATGTGTTTGCTGTCAGTACTCTCAGGCTCCCAAAAAATGTGAACCACTCAATTTAGGTTTTATAATTTGATCATAAAACTTGATTTTGTTGTACCTGACTGTTTTCATGTAATTATATCTTTGTTACTGGTATGTTGTGCTTCACTGGAAATTAATGTTTGATGGTTATGAAACATCAGGCCAGCTAATAGCTGCCAAACATCGGCAAGTTGCTTTTAAGTCTCAATGATTAACAGAAACTATTAGTTAGAAATTTAGAGCACATGCAGAAATGGCTCATTAAATGCACCTGCACAAAGACCAAACAACACCTGCTCACTAGAGAACTTGCTGTCAACATATTCTGACGTCGTCAGCTGGTGCGCGGCGCCAGCTGACACGCCAAAATATCATGTTGCGCGAACTGACCATGTCGATGCATGTTGACTTAGATTTACGCTCACTGGCTCCGCTTGCCACACGGCATAGTTCGTTTAGCGTTCGCCGCAGAGCAAACCCGGCACAAAGCACCAGGAAGGGAAATATGTGCCCACTGCACTTGTTTTGTTTTTTTGCCTTTCACTGTCCCAAATTGCACACGTCTATTTAGATCCATTTTGCGCTCCAGGATGCAATCACATGTTTTGACGGTACATTTCGGAGTCACACAATAACAAATTGACGTCATAAACTCCATACAGGATACAATGTGAAGTCATTTGGAACAGTAAATGGAAACCCAACCAGAAAGATCGCAGAGCCCCACCTTCTTTAGTCCATTCCCCAGGGCCTTCCCAGAGAGGCCATGGTGCGGAGTGCCCGAAAGGCCATTCCTCGTGTCCCACATTTTGCTTGCCCTGGGTTGGGACGTTCACTTCTTGGCGCTGGCGCATAATTTGGCTGCGCCACCTGGGGCGCCTGGTACGGCCGTCCCCGCCACCTAGCGGCCGGCCGCGGCTCCAATGCCGGCGAAGCCTACAGCTCAGGTAACCGCCGCCTGACGGCAAGGTTTCGAAACGACCTCCCCGTGGTGTCGGGTACAACCGAGCCCGCGCCATACACGAGGGACGGTGCCCACACTGCTCCCCGTTTACTCGCACAATGCCAACTACTGAGCGGTAAGCGGAGCCCGCACTGAGGTGGGTGAAATGCGTCACAAAAACATCAAACGCTGGTGTCACCTCTGAATGAGCTCATTTGCCCTAACGGCGGCTACCGCTACTACCATTCACGCGGCGGCTGTCTGTTTCAGGAGGTTTCGGCTCTGTCCGTCAGTTGCCATGCCAACGCCGATTGTCCGCAACCCGATCGCGGCCATGATCCCGCTGGCCATGCTCATAGGCGGCTGGTACCTGGACAAGCTCGACAACGAGCGCATGACCATGTTCCGGAACAAGTCTGCGCTCTACGGCCGGGAGCTTAAGCCCGGCGAGAAGCAGCCTTGGCCGTGACCGAACAGCCCGACCTGCCAGCGTCTTTGTGTTTGTGTGTGTGTTCTGGAATGGCTACTGCGAAGGCGTTCCAACGAGTTCTTTTCATGGTATCATGACCATAATAAATGACTAGGCAAATGTTCGGAAATAATTGGAAACGGAGAGCACTTGAACGCACTGTTTAATCCCAATGCGTCACAAGTGTGCAACGAGCGCCATCGTTTATCAGTTGTAGAATTAAGAAAACGAAAAGGCATGCGCATGCGCGCAGTGCAATGCATGCATCCGCACAATGCAATGCATGCATGCAGTGTTGTACATACATGGGTAAAACGGCTTGTCCAAGTCTTGTCTCAGAGCGTCGTGCATGATTGTGGAATTACAACCATGGGCATTGGCAATGAGGAAGGGGTGAGAACAGCTTTTACTCCCGGCGACGCTCGTCGCCGTCTAGAGCCAGGGACAATCATGCTGTTAAATGATTGTGTCTCCCAAATCAACAATATTGCCCCCCCCCTGGATATCCGTTCTGAGCATTAGCCAGCCGATCCCGGCGTCAGCCTTCGGCGACACCCCCGCCTGAACCCCAGAATGATGTCTTTGGAGTTGCCTTTCGCCACATGCCCATGCCCAGGCGCGCCCATCCAGACGCCCCTCGTTGTGCCATGCGAGTGCATCCATCCCCACTCCGAAGTGGTGGACAGCGAGCTCCGACACAGTCGGTGGGACCCTGTCCGCTCTGGCGTCATGGAGGGCAGCGGGGACCGGGGAGCTGCCGGAGTTCAGGAGAATATATCCTTGGCCGAGGAAATCGCCAAGGATAACGCGACCAGCAACATGGCTTTTACGCGCAGCACAGTCAGTTACTAACAGGTAGATGGTTTTTGGCGCAATACATGCCGGCTCAATGCCATCAAACTTGGGAAGAACAGCGGAGCCTGAGGTTCCCTAAGACTGCTGCCAGAGACGGGACCAGGGGTTCCCTGTGGCAGTAGTCACAGACCGGGCCAAGAGTTGCCTGTGACGGTATTCTCAGACGGGGCCACAGGTTCCCTGTGACGACAGTCACGGACCGGGCCAAGGGTTACCTGTGAGGATAGTCAGAGACGGGGCCCTGTTCCCTGTGACGGTCGTCAGAACTCATCATGATCCTGACACTTCATCGGTCACAACCCTTTTTAACCCCGCGAGCCCTGTAGGGTGCAGGGCATGGAACGGGTCTATGTGTAAATAGGGGCAGAGGGTGCACCCCTCTCCAATTAGGGACGGAAAGGGGTCTCCCAACCCGTGGCTGCGGAAGTCAACGAGGCCAGACAGGTGGCACGTGGCTGTTGGTACCACGAGTCGCCCAGGTGCTACTGCAACTGAGTGAACTCTATGAATCAGGGGAGAGGGCCTTCATTCAAACAGAGGCCCCGAAACCACGGAGGGGCCATAAAGAGTCCTATTCCGTCAAGATTCCTATGAGGTCAAGGAATCTTGGTTAAGCGAGCATACCGTATGGCCAGATGCTTCCTGACGCAGTGGGCTATCGCGCGCGTAGCACACGAGTGCAAACGGCCGAAAGGATTCGAGGTGACGAAGTACCACAATTTGTTATGAAAGCAATGCCCCTGCATTAAATAGGCACAACGACCATCACCAGAACGGCCTAACTTCGCAAGGCGACGACGTCCATGACACCAATGAGATAACCTGGAACCCGTTGGGAACAAAGACCTACCATCTCCTCAACACTCATCGCCGGATGTACGAAATCAACAGCATCGAGGTCATTACGGTGCGCCAATATGTGGGCAGACAACGGGGCCCGAACACGATTGAGGCATCCAAGAATGTCCGGTGACTTCCCAGACGGTTCATGGCCTCCAAACAGCCGCAGCGTCGTGAATGCATGGTAACCCCGGCACCTAGTGTGGCATTCCGCCAATTATGACGTCTGAGGGTCACCCCTCCCTCCGAGAGCGCAGTGGCAAAACAATACACACAATGACGCTGTAATCCGTGACCTTACCCAGCACTGAAATATGACAGAATGTTCCACATTGATCACGGGACATCTAACGAATTAAGGTATTAAAGACTTGGAACATTGTCAAGAAAGATGTTGATGAAAATAACCCATTCTGAGAATTCCGAAAGCCTACCATGGAAATTTTGAAGCAATTCTTGCGAACAAAAAAGATTGCTCTTCCCATCCAAAGCGGTCGACGGCTAAAATGGAAGGCGACAATCGATGGACGTCGCATAACCCAAGGTCATATCGTTCATAACGCGCAAGATTCCCACCCAAAATAGGCTGTCGTCATTGGCGGTAAAGGCTCGACGACTGCTTGCCTCAATGAAACAGAAACGCACGAGGCAAAACAAACACGAGGAAAGCGCCATCGTAACTAAAGCGTAACGCCCGTAGTTTTACACACCCTCGGTTACCAACGTCTCCGAAAATCTGAGCTGGTCACGTACCCTGTTATTGAGCATCACAGAACAACTATCAGTCACATTCATAGCTGTATTGTACTTCAACTGTGTTTCCGCAAATATCTGCGTTTCTCACATTTTTTTTTATCCTGTGCATGCAACCAGATCACTCGTTTTTTGTAAAGTCATGCGGCCCCCAGTGCTTCGAAAACTCCATGACTTTCTTCCGTTGTTCATCGAGGGACTCATTTCGCGATCGCCTCCACGCTGAGGGCTCCAGTTCCAGCATGCCACCGATAACCTCCTCCGCGAATGTGGCCGGAAACAGCTCCTCGTCCTCCACCACGTGGGCGAAGCCGGGCTGCAGTCCGAAGTCCACGAAGAAGTACGGCAAGCCCTTTGGCACAGCTCTGCGCACATCACGACCACGCAGGTCCACCACCTTCTTGTTCTGGCTCCACTCGGTCTCGCTCTCCTCCAGCGCCTTCTTGAAGTAGATCGGCGCCAGGTCGCCGCTTTCGCGCGGCACCGGCACCGCCTGCAGCACCGCGTGCGGGTACGTGCGTAGCTTCACCGCGCTCTCGAAGAACACCACGTCCTGCTCCATGGTGGCGAACATGGCCACGAGCGCAGCGCGGAACCGTTGTACCTCCTCCCAGGCGTCCTCGTCCAGGCCAACCAGGCTGGTGACGTGCTGCTGCGGCACCAGCAGGCAGTGGCCGGCCGTCAGCGAGCGGCCGGCAGGCAGCGCCAGGTAGCTCTTGGCGCCCAGCGCCGCGATCAGGTGGCGCAACGTGCGCCGGCTGTCCAGGCAGCGGTCGCAGCGCTCAGCACGCCGGTGCTGCGCCAGCGCGCGCGCCGCCTGCCGCTCGTCCTCGGCCAGCGCCGGCTGGGCGCGACCGGCGCGCTCGGCCAGCACGTCGTCGAGGCCGTGGTCGTCGTCGAGCCGCTGACGGACGCCACCGGCGGTCAACCGCGCCAGTGCCGCCGCCTCGTCGGCCGGCGTGGTGCGCCGCTCACGCTCGAACATGTCGCGCAGCTGCAGCCGGTCGTCGTCGGCGAAGTACTTGGTGCGCTCGGCGCCGCGGTGCGTGTCCGGCTTCTGCCGCTTCGAGGGCCGTTCGCTGGTCGGCGCACGCGTCCCCTTGCCGACGACGATCACCACCTGCTCAGCGGCGGCGCGGCTCGGCCCGACGGTGGCGCGCAGCCGCCGCGCCGCGTCCAGCTGCCGCTGCAGCGTCGCCACCACATCGTCGTCGCCGTTCAGCTCGGCTTTCAGTATTTTGGCGGCTAGCGCGTTCATCTCCCCGTCCGTCAGTGGCTTCGCGCTTCCAGAGCTGTCCCTGTCCGTTTCGCCGGAGTTGGGGCTGTCGTCAGCAGAAGTGGGAGAACTCTGTACACGGGGCAGGTCACGCGGCGGGGAGCCGCCTCTTCTCTCGGCCTTTACCCCGATGCGAGAATCACCTGGTGAGGTCGCGGCCGTTTTGCTCCATCCACATTTGGACTCCCGACGTCGGACCTCTTTCCCTTCATCTCTGTCAACACTGTACCGCTTTTGTTCGCCCGAGTTAGGGTCGTCGTACACGTCAGGTTTTCGCCTACCGGGGCTTATGCTTCTTCGCTCCCTAGTCATGCTTGGTGTTCTATCTGTGCTCTTCGTTCGTCTTCGCTCACTGCTTCCACTGCGCCGCCTTTCGCGACTTCTGCTTCGTCTTCGCTCTCTGCTCCTGCTCCGTCTTCTTTCAGAGTTGGTACTGCGCTGCTTTTCTTGACTCCCATTTCGACTCTTTTCTCGGCTCCTGCTCCGTCTCCGCTCTCTGCTCCCGCTCCGTCTCCGCTCCCTGCTCCTGCTTGGTCTCCGCTCCCTGCTCCTGCTCCGTCTCCGCTCCCTGCTCCTGCTTCGCTTCCGCTCCCTGCTCCTGCTCCGACTCCGCTCCTGGCTTCTTCTGCGCCTCCTTTCATCCCCACCGCCGGCCCCGTCCTTGGTGCGGCCGCGTCGCCAGCCCCTGGCGCCCTGAGCTGGCCGCTCGGCGGCGGCGCCGGCCGCCGGCCCGGCCGCGCTCCTCCGCTCGGCCGCGTCCAACATTGCCTGCAGCTTCTCCATGGAGCCCCAGCGCTCGGCCACCACCTCATCAAGCGGCCGGCCCTGGTCGGCCGCCTGCTGGCGGGCGCGCTCGAGGGCGCGGCGCAGCCAGCCGGCGCCTCCGTCGCCCACCGGCCGCGCGGCGGCGGGTGGGTCACCCGGGTCACGCCACTTGAGCGCCTCGTACGCCTGCTGGCGCTGGCGCTCCTCCTCGGCGCGCGCCTGCTGCTTCGTCTGCCGGCGCCGGTCGCGCACCTCGCCGGAGGTTACGCCCGCGAACAAGCCCTCCACGCTCATCCACTCGTCGCGCTGGGGCTGAGTGGCGTCGGAGGGCGACGGCGGCGCGCCGGCCGGAGCAGCGGCCGAGTGCTGGGTGCCGCTGGCTGAAACGGCCGCCGCTTCCGTCGCGCCGGCCGGAGTGGCGGTGGGCTTCTCGACCCACTGGTCGCTGCTGCTGCTGTCACTGCCTGGGCTCGAATTGCGCTGCTTGTGCTTCTTCTTCTTCTTTTTCTTCTTATGTTGCTTGTCTTTGTGCAACTCCGCTTGGGCGCTAGGAAACAAGCCAACATATTGCTTGCCTTTGTCTGTTGATGTTGCTATGTCCATTTTGATCAAGCTGTCTACACAAGCAATGGGTGCTTCTTGTAGTTCTTTCCAGGAGCCAATCTGTCAAGAAAAGAGAACACAAATGTTTGTAATTGATGGCATATGATTAAATGATCACAAACCATACCAGCACATCATGCAATGCTGTCTAATTCTGAAACATGTCAGAAAAGACCATGACATTTAACTAGTTATATCTAACTAATGGTACCTAAGTGCTGGGCTTCTCTCAATTATTTGTTGCAATGAAAGTCAGCTTCTGCAAGCTTAGTGCATATGCATGAATGTGGGTATATATCAACTAAATTTTTCAGAGCCAGCATTCTTGTGCATTAGAGCAGCTGTACTTTTTGCTGGGACAAACAACATAATTATCTACCCTAGTATTTCATTTGTGTGTGTGTCCCTGGCACTTAACAATGTGCACTGCTGATGCTATATGTTATTGCCCACCTCCCACACCCACAAGATTGCTCTCTTCAACTTTATCTTGAGTTTGCATTGTTTGCTGCAAAGTGTCAGTGTTATATGCATGAATTTGGTGTCCTGTGAAGTGTGCCCGCGCAGATACAATGTAAAAGTTTACTATATGGGAGGTATTCAGAATACATTTTCTGGCATGCTATGCATCATATAGTTTTTTGTTGTTGAAAATTGTGGGAACTCCCCAGTCATTGCCTATAGCTCACCAATATCAGCTGTGGAAACAAGGTAACATGTTTACACAGATCCTGGCTGCCACAACATTACTTCCTTGAAATGCCAGTCTGCATTCCCACTCATGCAACAACAGGTGGGAATACAGCACCAGATTGGCTATTCAGCAGGTTTATGCTCAATTTCACATAAACACAGTGACTTCCAAGCCAAACAAAATCAAATGACGCTGTAAGTTTGTGTGCTTCACAATTAATGTCCAAATGTGCGCGATAATCTAGATCTGACTTGGACAGTCAAATGTGCTGAATCTGATGAACTCAAAGCATGTTTTCTCAGTGGGAAAGCTAGTGAGGGCGGGTACAAGAGTCATCATCGACATTGGTCCATAACCCTGAAATGTCTTATCATTCATCAACTGATGTTTTCAAGGCATCAGACACCATACATCATCACACAAATGTTTTAGCGAAATCTTATCACTTAAACTTCAAAATATGATTACGAAAGCAACCAGAGACGTCGGTGGCACGCACGACTATCTAACGTGCCGCGCGTGACATCGGTCACACCTAGTAGCCTGCTACTTACTCTTAGCTTTACTCCATAATCACCCCAATAGCATTCATCCACACGTCTGCCCCTCGCACTGATGGCACGATACTGACGCATCAAGGCCGTCCTGACGAATCAACTAGCTTTTGTGTTTTCAAGGTGCTTTGAGTACTGGTTGTCGATTGATTGATGTGGCAATTAAATATGACGTCATAAGATAGTTCGAATTTTGGCATGAAATTTGATATTGGAAGCCGACAGGACGATGGCATTCAGTAGGTTGGCTGGAGAGGTTGGTGAGTTAGGTTAGATTAGGTTAGGATAGGTAAGGCTAAGTTAGGTAAGGCTTCGCTAGGTTAGGTTAGGTTAGGTAAGGTTAGGAATGGTCAAGTTATGTAATATAAGATTCTTATCCTTTTCCTACTTTTCTCGTGAGGCCCTTTTCGCGGAGGGTAATTACAGGTAACCTGGCCTTCGGTCTCGCTTTTACAAGTCGTTAAAGAATCTCACTTCGTGCCGCTCCATCTTGACTTGTGGTGCATTATCGCTTGCCAATGGTTGGAGGCCAGAATAACGACATAGCGTTTATTCCCTGCCCCATCAACCGTTCACTGCTCCCAGGCTCCGACGCTGTGAGGTTGCCGAGCCCGGTTGCACGCGTCAAAACCGACTCGGAACAGCCACACCCTGGACTGTGCGTTGCCACTCTCTGAAGCGAGCGCCGACAGTTTCAAAAGAATACTATTAAAAAGCCACGTCAGTTTTGCCGGTATTTGTAGCTGGACCACGCCAGGTTACTGCTCCAGCCTGCCGGATGTTCCAACCGCGACAAGCCGCTCCACCACCGGCGGCGCCGCGCGGCCGGAAGCCGGGCGGCGCCGACGGCCTGTCGCGGCTGCTGTCGTCGGGAGTGCGGCTCCGTGTCGGGGCGTCCCTGGGCGAGCGTCCGTCAGCCGCGCCGGCTCCAGTCATTTGCCCCCACTCGGCGCGTGACTCGGGGTCGCGACGACCGTGGCGTGTCGACCCTCGTCGCCGCCAGGAGTAATTGGAAGGCGCGGCTGGGCGGCCGAAATCAGACCGCATCTGTCGCGAAGCCCTGCCCTGCAGCGGCCGCGGACCGCCTGAAGCGGCGGGGAACGGGCGCACGGTGTCGATGAGTCCTGCCGGAGCCAGCGGCCGGTCCTCCGCACTCGGAGGCGCGTCACTGAGGTACGGTGGTGCATCGTTGCATCAGCCATCCTATCGTCCCTATGGCAACAGCGGAGGAGGGCCCCGAGACATGTCAGCGATACGGTGTCTTAGAACGCTGCGGCTGCTTTTCGGTGTTCATACAAGTGGCGAGTGTAACACTCGAGTTGGTAAAGACCGTCTGACGCAAGCGTGCAGTCAGTGATGGACTATTTGCTGCGCCGTTGTTTGTATGCAAACGACTGTTGCTTGTTAATTTTGTCAGAACATTCACCATCTCCTGAGAAATAGTTTAGCGGTCGGTGAAAGGGAATGAAAAGGAGCCATTTGGTGATGCAAAGAAATTGCGCGGGAATGCCAGCCACTCCGACAAGCTCAGCGTGGTAAGTCCACCTGCACGAATGCATCTTGTTACGAATGGCAACTTCACAGCAGAAAGTAGACCAATGGGGGTTGACCGTTACAAATACGATTTAAAAAAATCAACGACGTTGAGTGTTCGTTACCCTTGCACAGCGTCGTTGATTATATCGGTTCTAACCTAGCTAGAATAAGACTTCTTTTGCTATCAGACCCACTTTACCTGCTTGGTATACATTGCTGGATTTAATGTTTCACTGAGGTCCGTGGTGGGGCAGCATAACAGTCCTACTAAGCGCCATGTAAGCTTGTCGACTTAAGCTTACATTGGGACTACAGAAGACGTTCAACGTGGTTCAGACCCGCGGTCGAAAGCGCGTTTTCACGAATCTACAACTATATAAAATCCGAGCTATGGAACGTTAGACATCCACTCAATGGGTTGGTCGCGTAAATCATGGTCCGACCCTCTGTCCCCGGACAGGCCTGTTCGTTCCAATTATCGGGTCGATATCCCAGGCACCACGTATTGGTGACGCCCAGTGCACAAAGGTCATGGGACGGATTTGGACTATCCCGACATCTTACACGAGTAACCCGTTTCGTTTTGCTCGAAATCATCACGGGTCGACTCGTTCGGGTCGCTGTTGTATCTGGATCTGTTAGACCGGAGAGGGTTCACCGTCTCTGTTTCAGTCCTATCGACGTCGAGAACCAGCCGCGGTTGCACCATTACCCTAATCAAAAGGCTACGATGGGTACTGAAAACACTGCCCATCAGTGATAATGAAACTCAGGACTCGTTGGCCCGTCAACCTCACATTCCATCACAGATGTTGAATCCAATGCGACGACCACGGCGCGGATGGATGGATGCCTGAAATGACACGGTTTGCTTAACGTTGGGTAAGCAATTTGCTAATGGAGATCCATTAGGCAGTTCGCAGCTACTGCGCTGAGGTTTATAAAACACCTTTGATGTTGAACGAAACGCCACACTGCAGCCGTGGCGTTAGAGCGCTAACTCACATTGCAACGCTCGCAGCCTCCCCCACTCCCCCCGGATAAATCCCAGACATCAGTGATGAAGTCATTGATGAAGCCAATTAGACACCGGCGGAAGCGATGCTCTGGGCAGCTGGTGCCGTCGGTGGAGAGCGCCACGTGATCGGCTGGGCCGTGCGGCGCCGATCGACAACCGAGCGGGCTTCCCCATGTGTTCCCATCCTCGCCTCTGACAACAGAAGTTCGACGCGCTTGGCCGAGCACGGCCGCCTGACAGACGCGCTGTCAGCCTGCTCCGCCTCCGCGCGCACAAAGAGCTGCCCGGGACTCTCTGTGACGTCGCTCCGGCAGACGTCATCGGTTTAGTGTTACGGTTATCTGACCGGGCCACAGTCGTTCACCAGGGAGTAGTCGGCGGCCGGAAGAGCCTCACTTGGACAGTTGCGCTGTCTAAATATCTGAAATAGACTTAGTGCTTCAAATAGAAGTATCGACCCAGTTCTTGTGGTTCCATGACGTAAGTGCTACAACAAAAACTCTCGCCTACAGCAGTGTTACGACATAACTTCTGCTATCGATAGTCATACACATTAGCGCTACGCGACAAAACATATACTGCAAAAGCTTATGCTCGTGGTTACTTGTACTACAAATGCTTATCCAGCCTTAGCTCATGTATGATATTACTTCTGATGCAGACAACTTATACGAGACATCAGTGTTGCCCAACAAAATAAATGGTTTCAAAATGTGTACTCGTCACTGATTCTGCTGCAATGTCTACAGTCATTACTAATACACAATTTTACTTCTTCTCCAAAGACTTATGCGCGTTAATTAACTACACGACAAAAATTATCCTTCAATAACTTATGCCCGTCATTACCCCTACTGTGAAAACTATTCAGCCACCACCTATACACGTGGGTGTAGGAAGAGGGGGAGGGGGACAGGGGGCCATGGCTCCCCCACTTTTCAAGGTGGGGGGGGGGGGGGGGGCAGCAACGTTAACTAGACCCCTCACTTTTCAGATTAATATTGTGTTTAGCTTACTTTTGCACCACATGAAACATACCTGACGATTTATCTAGTTCACCAGCCATCTTCCTCAAGATGCATCATCTTTTTCGTTTGCTTGTTGACCATCACCAAGTGTCACAGCCACAGGCCGGCGTCGCTCGGCCCATGGAGACTGCAACGCCGGGCGTCGAGGCTGTTGTTGCTATGACTTGCGAGTATGCGTGTTCAAAGCTGTTTTCCATGGTTTTTATCAGTAATCAGTTCTGACTGAATCTTGAACATTTTAAGACGAACATAGATAGGCCATGTTAATACAAATCTGGGACCCCATTTCATCTACAATAAACGTTCAGAAAATCCTCAATATCCTGAAGAACACAGAGAAACATGGAACTGGAGCCTATGTGACAATTATTGGACCAACTGCAGCAATCAGGGACGTTGTTACATCGATGAGGATTCCTGTACGTATCTGGCACCAACTGCGTGAGTCAGAAGACCTCCCGTGTCAGGGAGGGTAGCAATGTGATGTGATATATTCTTCTAATAGACTCCGGGTCGACCAGAAGATCCCGCCCGTGTCGCCAGAATGACAGCCAGAAGACACTTCGCGATGGGGCGGAGTGGCCCTTTAGCCCTTGACTGGAACCGGTGATGCGCTCCTGGTGTCCTACTCAAGGGACCCCGTGCCCGGAAGGAAATGAGGACCCTCAATATTGTTGAGTAGAGTCAGATCTCGTTATTGTTGAATAAAATGAGTCGCAATGAACTTATCAAACAAACAAGGCCATCTTATGTTTGCCTGAAAGCGTTCGCTTTTCAGAATGGGTTAGTAAATAGATACATCAAAAGGTTTCAACATGGCCGCCCGCAACCTTGAGAGCGCAGGGACGGCGATGGCATGGGTTGCAGCTTCCGTAAAACCGAACGGCGTCAACCACTGCAAGTGCCACCAGACGGCGGGCGCCATGTTAATCTGTCTTCTGGACAGATTAAGAGTCACAGAAACACAAAAAATAGAGATTCTACTTTTACTCTTCCAGTTGCGCCACCAGATTCCAACACCACTTCGCGGTGCTTCCCGGCTAATTCGTTCTTATCATCATTTCTTGATATCGCACAGGTGAAATATGCATCCAGACTGCCTTTTAAATCTAAGTTTTGATGACCTGAAATGTTCGAAGGCTTTTCTTCCAGACCCATCATCATTTTCGTCCACCCATTGCCCACGGCTCAGCATTAATTAGCTGCTGGGCCGACACCGCGTGGCCTACTGAGGCTGCAACGCCTGGCGTCCAGGTTTTTGTTACTAAGATTTGCGAGTGCGCAGGTTCAAATTACGTCACATAACTTGTAGTACTAATCGATTTAAGTGTTTAAAGATAATTATTTCGGAAGCGTCGTTATTTTCGTCCACCGGTAGGCCACGGCGAAAAGTTGGCCACTATGCTAACGCTCCGCGGACCGTTGAGACTGCAACGCCTGGTGTCGAAGTTTTTGTTGCTAAGATTTGGGGGCGTGCAGGTTAAAAAAACACGTCAC